ACCTACAGCCTAGAGCGTCCTGGTGCCACGTGCATTTATGGACACTCTTATGTTCGAACAAGGTGTTCGTTATGGCGAAATTGTGAAGTCCAATAACAAAGCACCGCTCGGGTTCAGATCTGGGAGGCCGTTCCTCCCAATCACGCCCCTCCAGGTCTCGACTGTCGTTACCCACGTGAGCATTGAGGTCTCCCAGCAGGACAACAGAGTCTCCAGGTGGAGCACCTTCCAGCCTTCTTTTCATTAGGGTCTTCTGAATCGCTCTTTGTCTGGTCCCTCACCCAGGACCAATTTGCCATGGGAGACCCTACCAGGGGGCAAAAGCCCCCAGACAACATAGCCCCTGGGATCCCTGGGACACACAAACCCCTCCACCACAATAAGGTAGCGATTCAAGGAGGAGATAAACATTAAATTTAGTCACATTGAAACAGCTGCACAAATCAGCATATTTATTACCAAAGGCTATTTTACAAAGCCACCAAGCATGAAGCCACACAATGAACTGAATTGTAACACATGTTTAAAAAGAAAAGAATGTGAAACATGTGTGCCTAATGTTGACTATATTTTGCATTTGCAGCTGTTTTTTAAGGAGGCAGGATCACATTTAGCATTTAAGTTAGACATGTTTAAAACATGAGGCTTGCACAGCTTGCTTCATTGCCACACAATGCCTTGTAACCTGAGGCACGGAGCCAACTGCATCACCTAGATTAAAATGGTCCACGTCACAACAACACTGCTACCTCCTCCTCATTCCAACTTTATTCCACCTTTATCGTTATCTTTATCTTTTTAGATCTCTGCTTTCTTTTTTATATATTAATAAATTGCTGCAGAATTTGTGAAATTTGACCTGCTATAGTCCAGTCAATGTTTTTTCATCCCGAGACACTGTATAAAAATGACATATAAAAAAAGAATGAAATAATTTGCAAAATACATTACATTAAAACTGAGAAAATTGATTGTCTTGTCAAAGGACATTTCAAAAAAGTTGGGACAGGTGTTTATCGTGCTACCAACACTGTAAGTGTTCTGAAAGCCAAATCTTCCCACTGTTACTTGCTTCATGATTTCAGCTGGGCTCAGTTTTTTCTGTTTTTCTGAGCTTACCCCATATTTCCACTGGTTTATCAGTCTGGACTATACATGTAGGCCAATTTAGCACCCTGACTCTCACTGGGTGAGAAAATGATTGTCTGACCAAGATAACTGGATAACAGCAAATGTTGCTCCAAATATCATTCAGGATTAATTGTGTCTCAAGAAGCACCAATATTTAGTCAGAGGTCAAACGACCCAGCTCAGTCAAGTCTGCACTGATTCTGGATCACTTTTGATTTAGCCCCGAATTGTTTTCACTGACAAAGGATTCGGATCCCTTGCAGTGACGTCCACAACTTATGCAGGGAACCGTTTTAAGATTCTCAAACAGTGAGACTCGAACAGTCTTAATGATCATGTTCAACTAGGTGCTTTTTTAGCTTTACAAAAGTTTTCAGTCAGTTGCAAATTTTTAAAAACATGTTCCTCGCTTCACATTTCAAATGAGCCTAGTGTTGGAGATAATTGCACTTCTTTAACAGTAAAATTCACTTGAGACTACTACTTGAGAATGTTGTCGCATATTGTAATTATAATGTGAGAAAAGAACAAAAATAATGAGCTTACTCCCAGTCCCATGCAGGCTGAAGGGCTTAAGATCCTGAGCAAAGCCAGAGTTGAAAATCAGCTTGCTGAGGGTCAGTTCTGTACTCCTTTCTTCCGTGTTCTCCTTTCCACACCACTTTTTTTCACCCTCTGTTTTTTTTATTAACCCTTTTCGTTCTGTCCTTGCAACCTTTTTTTTTTTTAACTTTCCTTCTCTCCTTTTCTCTTTGTTTACCTCTGAGCTTGTTCTTCTCTCATTTCTCCCATCGTATCAGTCAAAAAGACTTATACGGTGTCATAATCAGGCAGAACAAAGACAAGTTTGTACAAATCTTCCCTTCTTGACTAAGATGAACTAAAT